GCAGATCTCTCAGCAGAAACCCTACAAGTCAGAAGAGAGTGGGGGCCAATATTCAACATCCTTAAAGAAAAGAACTTTCAACCTAGAATTTCATATCCAGCCAAACTAAGCTTCGTAAGTGAAGGAAAAATAAAATCCTTTACGAACAAGTGAGTACTCAGAGATTTCACCACCATCAGGCCTGCTTTACAAGAGCTCTTGAAAACAGCACTAAACATAGAAAGGAACAACCAGTACCAGCCACTCCAAAAACATACCAAATGGTAAAGAGCATCAATGCAATGAAGAAACTGCATCAACTAACGGGCAAAACAGCCAGCTAGAATCAAAATGGAAGGATCAAATTCACACAGAATAATATTAACCCTAAATGTAAATGGGCTAAATGCCCCAATCAAAAGACACAGACTGGCAAATTGGATAAAAAGCCAAAACCCATTGGTGTGCTGTATCCAGGAAACCCATCTCACATGCAAGGATACACAAAGGCTCAAAATAAAGGGATGGAGGAAGATTTACCAAGCAAATGAAGAGCAAAAAAAGCAGGAGTTGCAATTCTCATCTCAGATAAAATAGACTTTAAACCAACAAAGATCAAAAGAGACAAAGAAGGGCATTACATAATGGTAAAAAGATCAATGCAACAAGAAGAGCTAATGATCCTAAATATATACGCACCCAATACAGGAGCACCCAGATACATAAGGCAAGTTCTTAATGACTTACAAAGAGACTTAGACTCCCACACAATAATAGTGGGAGATTTTAACACCCCATTGTCAATATTAGACAGATCAACGAGACAGAAAATTAACAAGGATATCCAGGACTTGAACTCAGACCTGGACCAAGCAAACCTAATAGACATTTATAGAACTCTCCACCCCAAATCCACAGAATATACTTCTTCTCAGCACCACATCACACCTACTCTAAAATTGACCACATAATTGGGAGTAAATCACTCCTCAGCAAATGCAAAGTAACGGAAATCATAATAAACAGTCTCTCAGACCACAGTGCAATCAAGTTAGAACTCAGAATTGAGAAACTAACTCAGAAGCACACAGCTTCACGGAAACTGAACAACTGGCTCCTGAATGTTGACTGGTTAAACAATGAAATGAAGGCAGAAATAAAGATGTTCTTCAAAACCAACGAGAATGAAGACACAACATACCAGAATCTCTGGGACACATTTAAAGCAGTGTCTAGAGGAAAATATATAACAATAAATGCCCACATGAAAAGCAAGGAAAGATCTAAAATCGACACCCTGTCATCAAAATTGAAAGAGCTAGAGAAGCAAGACCAAAAAAACTCAAAACCTAGCAGAAGACAAGAAATAACTAAGGTCAGAGGAGAACTGAACGGGATAGAGACACAAAAAACCCTTCAAAAAATCAATAAATCCAGGAGCTGTTTTTTTGAAAAGATCAACAAAAAACAGACCACTAGCCAGATTAATAAAAAAGAAAAGAGAGAATAATCAAATAGATGCAATAAAAAATGATAAAGGGGATATCACCACAGATTCCACAGAAATACAAACCATCATCAGAGATTATTACAAACACCTCTATGCACATAAACTAGTAAACCTGGAAGAAATGGATAAATTCCTGGACACTTGCATCCTCCCAAGCCTAAACCAGGAAGAAGCCAAAACCCTGAATAGACCAATAACAAGGTCTAAAGTTGAGGCAGCAATTAAGAGCCTACCACCCAAAAAAAGCCCAGGTCTGGACAGGCTCACAGCCAAATTCTACCAGATGTACAAAGAGGAGCTGGTACCATTCCTTCTGAAACTATTCCAAACAATCCAAAAAAGAGGGAATCCTTCCCAAATCATTTTATGAGACCAACATCATCCTGATACCAAAACACGGCAGAGACTCAACAAGAAAAGAAAACTTCAGGCCAATATCCATGATGAACATGGACGTAAAAATCTTCAATACAATACTGGCAAACCAATTGCAACAGCACATCAAAAAGCTTATCCACTATGATAAAGCAGGCTTCATCTTGGGGATGCAAGGCTGGTTCAACATACGCAAGTCTATAAACGTAATTCACCACATAAACAGAACCAAAGACAAAAACCACTTGATTATCTCAATTGATGCAGAGAAGGCCTTTGACAAAATTCAATAGCCCTTTATGCTAAAAACCCTCAATAAGCTAGGTATTGATGGAATGTATCTCAAAATAATAAAAGCTATTTACGACAAACCAACAGCCAATATCATCCTGAATGGGCAAAAACTGGAAGCATTCCCCTTGAAATCTGGCACTAGACAAGGATGCCCTCTCTCACCACTCCTATTCAATATAGTACTAGAAGATCTAGCCAGAGCAATCAGGCAAGAAAAAGAAATAAAGGGCATTCAAATAGGAAAGGAGAAAGTCAAATTGTCTCTATTTGCAGACGACATGATTGTATATCTAGAAGACCCCATCGTCTCAGCCCCAAATCTCCTGAAACTGATAAGCAACTTCAGCAAAGTCTCAGGATACAAAATCAACATGCAAAAATCACAAGCATTCCTATACACCAATAACAGACTTAAAGAGAGCCACATCAAGAATGAACTGCCATTCACAATTGCTACAAAGAGAATAAAACACCTGGGAATACAACTAAGAAAGGATGTAAAGGACCTCTTCAAGGAGAACTACAAACCACTGCTCAACGAAATAAGAGAGGACACAAACAGATGGAGAAACATTCCATGTTCATGGTTAGGAAGAATCAATATCGTGAAAATGGCCATACTGCCCAAAGTAATTTACAGATTCAACGCTATCCTCATCAAGCTACCAATGACCTTCTTCACATAACTGGAAAAAACCACCTTAAACTTCATATGGAACCAAAAGAGAGCCTGCATAGCCAAGTCAATTCTAAGCAAAAAAACAAAAAAAAAACAACAAAAAAGAACAAAGCAGGAGGCATCACACTACCGGACTTCAAACTACACTACAAGGCTGCAGTAATCAAAACAGCATGGTACTGGTATCAAAACAGATATAGACCCATGGAACAGAACAGAGGCCTCGGAGGCAACACCACACATCTACAATCATCCAATCTTTGACAAACCTGACAAAAACAAGCAATGGGGAAAGGATTCCCTGTTTAATAAATGGTGTTGGGAAAACTGGCTAGCCATGTGCAGAAAGCAGAAACTGGACCCCTTCCTGACACCTTACACTAAAATTAACTCCAGATGGATTAAAGACTTAAACATAAGACCTAACACCATAAAAACCCTAGAAGAAAACCTAGACAAAACCATTCAGGACATAGGCATAGACAAGGACTTCATGACCAAAACACCAAAAGCATTGGCAACAAAAGCCAAAATAGACAAGTGGGACCTAATCAAACTCCACAGTTTCTGCACAGCAAAAGAAACAGTCATTAGAGTGAATCAGCAACCAAGAGAATGAGAAAAAATTTTTGTGATCTACCCATCTGACAAAGGGCTCATATCCAGAATCTACAAAGAACTAAAACAGATTTACAAGAAAAAAAAAACAAGCCCATTTAAAAGTGGGCAAACGACATGAACAGACACTTTACAAAAGAAGACATACATGAGGCCAACAAACATATGAAAAAATGCTCTCATCATCACTGGTCATCAGAGAAATGCAAATCAAAACTACATTGAGATACTACCTCACGCCAGTTAGAATGGCGATCATTAAAAAATCTGGAGACAGATACTGGAGAGGCTGTGGAGAAATAGGAACACTTTTACACTGTTGGTGGGATTGTAAATTAGTTCAACCATTGCAGGAAGACAGTGTGGCGATTCCTCAAGGACCTAGACATGGAAATTCCATTTGACCCAGCAATCCCATTACTGGGTATATATCCAAAGGATTATAAATCGTTCTACTATAAGGATACGTGCACACGAATGTTCACTGCAGTACTGTTTACAATAGCAAAGACCTGGACCAACCCAATGCCCATCGATGATAGAGTGGACAGGGAAAAAGTGGCACATATACACCACTGAATACTATGCAGCCATAAAAAACGATGAGTTTGTGTCCTTTGTAGGGACGTGGATGAACCTGGAAACCACCATTCTCAGCAAACTGACACGAGAACAGAAAATCAAACACTGCATGTTCTCACTCATAGGTGGGTGTTGAACAATGAGAACACATGGACACAGGGAGGGGAGCAACACACATTGGGATCTGTAGGGGGAAATAGGGGAGGGACGGCAGGGGGTGGGGCATTGGGGAGAGATAGCATGGGGAGAAATGCCAGATATAGGTGATGGGGAGGAAGGCAGCAAACCACACTGCCACATGTGTACCTATGCAACAATCTTGCATGTTCTTCACATGTACCCCAAAACCTAAAATGCAATAAAAAAAATAGTAAGGATTATCATATAAGGTATAATTTAAACATGATTTTAGTTTGGTTTTGTCACTCATGATACCACGCACGGCAGGAAAGAATGAATAGTAAAGAGGCAAACACGAGAGAGTTCTGGAAAGGGGCAGTTAGGGCAAGAGGGTAAGGATAACTAGCACGAACAGCTCCTATTTAGTGAGCACTTTACACACACTACCTCATTTCATCAACCAAAAACTCCAGGAAGTAAACACTTGTACTGTCTCCGCTGTATTATTTTTTTTGAGATAGAGTTTCACTCTTGTCACCCCGGCAGGAGTGCAATGGCAGGATCTTGGCTCACTGCGACCTCCGGCTCCTGGATTCAAGCAATTCTCCTGCCTCAGCTTCCCGACTAGCTGGGATTACAGACGCCCACCACCACACCTGGCTAATTTTTGTATTTTTGGTAGAGACGGGATTTTGCCTTGTTGGTTAGGCTGGTGTTGAACTCTTAGACCTCAGGTGGTCTGCTTGCCTCGGCCTCCCAAAGTGCTGGGATTACAGGCGTGAGCCACTGCTTGCAGCCCTATTGTCTCCATATTAATCAATTAATTAATTAATTTTTATTCAGTCTCCATAGAGACTGTCAAAAATTGCCAATGCCGACTATATTGCAAGTTGTCATGGCGGGGTATTGGGAAAAGTTTTCAGTTAATGATAATTGTGCCTTGGATAAACCTCACTGGCTACAATACTGCCACTGCACAAAGCTTATTGCCTCCATTTTAAAGTCAAGCAACCGCTTGAGACAAACTCCCTAACTTGCTTAAGATCACGTAACAGAGGAGTGACACAGACAGATTTAAATCCAGATAGCCTGAACTCCTGTTACCAGAGCTTCCTGAGATATACATGTAAAGAACACAGTTACTGGCACATGGGAAATATGTAATAAGTCACAGCTATTGTAACTAAAGGGAGAAATAATTCAGAGAGGATTTTAGATAAGCAGTGGACATATGGCAAACAGGTGATTCAAGAAAACACATGGGAGAAAAAGGAAGAATATGACCAGTTTTCCCTTAAAGGCATTCCAGCATTTTATTGCTAAACAGGCAGTCTCCAGGCAAACAGCAGATGTTGAAGGGACTAAGGTACAGATGTTAGAAGTCCCATCACACCTCTACAGTCCCTGAAAATATCAAGCAGACCCTTGCCGGACCCTCGCTCGGTGAACTGATCACTGAATGTGCCCAAAGCTGTCCCTTACTGACCCCACTTGGGGATGCTGTGTTTGATATGATTAAGTTTCTAACAGCGAATGTCCTTCCTGCCTCCCGTTTCTGTGTAGACGGTAAAATCCAGTCCCTGTTCTCCTGAAATAAGCCCTGAATTCCATTTCCTCATTTTGTGATCCCTGATACTTACAGGTGGACTAAATAAAAAGCTGACTGGAGCAAAGGGATTCGATCTGGGATGCTTACCTGCTCCAGTCTTTCAATGAGCTCTGCAGGAGTTAGGACCACCTCTTCACTACCCCCATCAGAGTCCTGTCCCAGGAAATCTGGTTCTTCTGTCATCTTCTCTGAGACCAGGAACCTGATGAGAAGGAAAGAACCAATACTCTGCAATGCGTTTCCCATTTATTTGCAAGAACAGACATCTACCTGGAGAAGGTAAAGGTTTATTGCGGTTTCCTGGGGTTGTGGAGGCCCATTAGCAAGTGGCAAGAGAACGCAGGGACTCTAGTTTTCCAGTGTCTGCCTCTTCCTCCAAGGCTTAGGTCAGGTATCGGTTTCTCAAACGGGCCTCCCCTTTATAACTGTCCGCCAGGAGCTGAGCACCTATCACATCATACAATCACTATTCATTTCTTTGACTTCCTGGTAAAGGTCTTGTTTCTTAAGAGTCGGGGTTCGTTTTAGTGCCTGGCACTAAGCACTGGGGACGCAATGACCTTGGGGGGGGAGCCCCAGCGCTCAGCAGTGTTTGACCCCTATCAAGCACTTAACATCGTTGGGAGCTGGCCGGCTCACGCCTGTAATCCCAACACTTTGGGAGGCCGAGGCAGGAAGTTACCTTGAGCCCAGGAGTTCGAGACCAGCTTGGGCAACATAGGGAGTTCCTGTCTCTATAAAAATAAAAATTGTTAGGAGGATTAATCAATGCTAATTTCCCAGAGCCACAGGGCCCGGCGACACAGACCAGTCGGTAACCCCAAAGACCTAAGGAGGTGGGTGGCGGGGACGAGGAAAGTCCCCGGGGTCGCAGGGAAACTGCGAGCATCCTCCTCCCCTCCTCCCTCTCCGTGCCACCCACACAGACCCGCCCTCGCCACAAAGAGGTCTCACTCGACGACCTGCGAGACAGCGAGGCACTCCAGAGCAGCAGGCGGTAAGGACGGGGAGTTCGTGGGGACGCAGTCGGGGCACCTGGAAGCGGGAAGACAGCAGCGCGAACTGCTCAAGGCCTGCCCGGGACCAACCGAACTTTTCAGCTCCCGCGCTGCTCTCGGAAACTCTCCGCCCATGCATCACGTCACCGCGCATGGGCGACGCTGACCAATCACGGCACGGGGGGAAGAACGGAGCTGTGTCATTGGCCCGCCCACTCGAGGGGCGGGGACTGTCTTCGCGACTGCCCGTGGTCCCAGAAACCCCCGGAAAACAGGCGGTGGGAGGCCGGTCCCGCCCGACTGGGCCGGCCGCTCAGGTGTGTGGTTCTGGCTGCACTACCCAGGACCGTCGGGAGGGGGCGCCCCGCCACCGCGGCTGAGAGGAGCAGCGGTGTCCGTCCCGGGGCCAGCAGGGTGCCAGCGCCCGGGTACTGAATTCCTGGGGCGCTGGCGGGTCCCACCCAGAAGTGCGCTGTTGGAAGCAGGCCGCTGCAACCTCCTGGGTCGTCTCCATCCACAGCTCCCGTGGCTCTTTGGGTTCCTTCGTCTTTGCAGGGTTTCAGCTGAGCTCACTATGGTAATTGCCTTCAGAATCTCTTTCCTTTCTTGAGACAGGGTCTCTCTCTGGTACCCAGGCTGGAGTGCAGTGGTATGAGCACAGCTCACTGCAACGTCCGCCTCCCGGGCTCTAAGCGATCCTCCCACCTCCGCCTCTCCAGTACCTGGGACCACAGGCCAGCGCCACCACGCCCAGCTGTTTTTATTTTTATTTTTATTTTTTATTTTTTTTTGAGACGGAGTTTCGCTCCTGTTACCCAGACTGGAGTGCAATGGCGCGATCTCGGCTCACCGCAACCTCCGTCTGCTGGGTTCAGGCAATTCTGCCTCAGCCTCCTGAGTAGCTGGGATTACAGGCATGCACCACCATGCCCAGCTAATTTTTTGTATTTTTAGTAGAGACGGGGTTTCACCATGTTGACCAGGATGGTCTCGATCTCTTGACCTCGTGATCCACCCGCCTCGGCCTCCCAAAGTGCTGGGATTACAGGCTTGAGCCACCGCGCCCGGCCTTATTTTTATTTTTTTAAATAGAGCCGTGGCCAGGAAGAGCGTGGAGTGTTTTCCCTATGTTGGCCAGGCTGGTCTCGAACTCCAGGACTCAATCGGTCCTCCCACCTTGGCCTCACAAAGTGGCTAGTGGTTCTTGAAGCCTGGGATCGGACGACCAGCAGCAGCATCTCCTGGGACTCCGCGAAAATGCAGATTCTTAGGCCCCACCCAGACCCACTGAATCAGAAACTCAGGGGGTGTTTCTGGTCACCTCCCAGTGACCCTGACGCAGGTGAGGTTTGAGAATCACTGCTTTGGGGCAATGCTTCCAACTCAGCTTCTGGAGGGGAAAAGCAAAAAAACCCCCATGTTTGTATATGTGTATATTTTTTCCATCTTTGTATGAGTCAGTTTTTCTTCTCTGAATTGCTGATTCTTTTCTCTTTGCTGCCCTGTGTTTTCTGTGCAAAGCATTGCTTCTGACTTCCCTAAAAGTGTCTCTTCTCCATCAATCTGAAGGCTCTTTGTGAAGCTGCTCTATGACGTCATATTGATTGATTGACTAGTAAAATGATTGGCTAATATAGGAAGATCGTATCTGTCTGATTACAATCCTATTACAAAAATGAGAATAGAATAAGCTGAGTGAGAGAGTGGGCATCTTTACAAAGGGCTGTATAAGCTGGGGGCATATCAGTGTGGGACTCCCAAAAGGAAGGGACATTTGAGCTGTGTCTTACAAAATGAAATTTGTGAGTGGCAAATAGGTGGTCATTTTGAGGTCTGTTTCAACGCTGTGTTTCAATGGTTTGGTAATCCAGTGGTTTTTGGTTGTGGCAGAGTATGTTTCCCAAACATAGCTGCTCTGATATGGATCTCATCCCACATACTCTTCTTGCCATGTGACATTGACACTCCTCCGTCAAGAGGTAGGGTCTGTGTTCTCACCTTTTAATTAATTAATTTATTTAGAGGCAGGGTCTCACTCTGTTGCCCAGGCTGCAGTGCAGTGGTGTGGTCTTGGCTTACTGCAGCCTTGACCTCCCTGGGCTCAGGTGATCCTCCCACCTCAGCCCTCACGAGTAGCTGGGACTACAGGTGTGCACCACCATGTCGGCTAATTTTTTGTATTTTTGGTAGAGATGAGGTTTTATCATGTCGCTCAGGCTGGTCTTGAACTCAGGCTCAAGTGATCCACCCACCTTGGCCTCCCAAAGTGCTGGGATTACAGGCATGAGCCACTACACCTGGCCCTGTTCTTGCCTTTTAAATCAGGAAAGACATTTTTTACTGCTCTGACCAAGAGAATTTGGCAGAAGTGATATGGCCTGGCTTCTGGGACTAAGTCATAAAAGGCAATTCGGCCCCTACTTCGCTCTCCTTTCTGGAGCCCTATCCCTTGGGAGCTGTGGGCTGACATGGAAGAAGTCTGGCTAGCCTGCGAGAGAGTTCATGTGAAGATGCCAGGCAGAGATGGGGAGCTATACCGGAGGAACGGCAGCACCCCAGCTGTCCCATCCTCCAGATGCTGGGTTGAGGGAGCCTTCAGGTGATTCTAGCTCTGAGGCTTCAAACTGTCCCAGCTAAGATGGAAGGGAGCAGAGATGAGCTTCCCTGCTGAGCCCTGCCAAATGGCAGACTTGTGAACAAAATAAATATTGTTGTACTTTTAAGCCCCTATGTTTTGGAGTGGTTTGTTATGTAGCATTACATGACTGGAACAGCGGTCTTTGAGCACAATCCCGTTCCTCCATAATTCTCAGCACCAAATAGCTTTTCAGTGATGTCTATTAATACTCCTTAAGTGTTACAGATTTGAGTCCAAGTGCAGATAACTTCTCTACACAAGTGCCGATTATGTAGTTTATTGATTTAAAGACTTCCCTTCTCTGGGACCAACCACCTTCTCCATTCTCCCCCATTTCTTCATTGACTGGGGAGCTGGAGTCCAGCTTCTGCTTCATTGCTTAATAGTGGTGTGACTTTAAACAAGTCACTTATCTGTATTTCAGTTTTTTTTTTTTTTTTTTTTTTTTATGAGACAGAGTTTTGCTCTTGTTGCCAGGCTGGAGTGCAGTGGCATGATCTCAGCTCACTGCAACTTCCACCTCCTGGGTTCAAGCAATTCTTGCGCCTCAGCCTCCTGAGCAGCTGGGATTATAGGCATGTGCCACCACACCCCACTGATTTTTATATTTTTAGTAGAGACGGGGTTTTTACTATGTTGGTTAGGCTGGTCTCGATCTCCTGACCTCATGATCTACCCTCCTTGGTCTCCCAAAGTGCTTTAAGGAAGGCAGAAAAGTGCTCTTAGAGTGTTTTCTCTT